TGTAATATTCTACATTGAACCATGCATATAAAACTGACTGGAAATGTGTTATTCGTTGCCAGGTGCTTGACGGCGAGGATGCTAGACTTGCAAATTACTTTGATGTAATTGCAGGAACGAGTACAGGAGGTCTAGTAACTGCCATGTTAACCGCTCCTAACAAAGATAACCGTCCGTTGTTTGCAGCTAAAGATATCAAACCCTTTTATCTCGAGCACTCCTCTAGAATTTTTCCACAAAAGAAGTATAAATTATACTTTAGTAGTACAACAAACAGTTCATTTTATATAAATCTTAGTGATTTTATGATCATATTTTTATTGATGAGCACATGTATTTGTACTGGTTTCGAATTGCAGAGGCTTATTGGGATTGTTCGAAAAACTATTGAAATCTATAGTCGGACCGAAGTACGATGGAGAGTACCTTCACAAAGTTATCAGAGAGAAACTAGGCGACACTCGATTGCATGAGACATTAACTAATGTTGTCATTCCAACATTTGACATTGAAAATTTGCAACCTATTGTTTTCTCCAAATATCAGGTCTACAATTCTTCTCATCATTCCTTTCGTCCAACAGTATTTGTCTGATTGTATTCTTAATTGTTTATGAAACTATGATATCCAGCTAACCAATCATTATATTGCAAGTATTTACTTATGGCCTCTCAATCAATTCAAGGGCCTTAGACAAAATTTCTATTTTTTTTTAAAAAGAATAATAATAAATTAAAATAGAGCAAACAATTACACTAAACAATTGTGCCAATAATTGCTGACTTATCTGTGATTCAAATGGAATTGCTAACACTCATATAGTTGGATATCATCAATTCACATACAATGACTACCGACGATAATGTCTTGTACGACGTCATCGGTAATCATCAATTACGTTTCCATCTACAAAGAAGTTGATGATATCAACGACAAAATTTTATTCTCTTTATTTTATTTACAAGGTACTACAAGAATATTGATAATCTCTATATCTTTTTATTTTTCATTTGTAATATTGAGTCATAGAGGGAATATAATGTAATTCAGTCAGTATACATGTGTATATAGGCCGTGAGGACGCCATCGTTGAATGTTCGACTCTCAGATATATGCATTGGCACATCTGCAGCTCCAACTTATCTTCCTGCATATTATTTCAAGAACCAGATTAAACAAGGTTATGTACGAGAGTTCAACCTCGTAGACGGTGGTGTTGCTGCCAATAATCCGGTAAAAGACACACATATACAGAACAATGTCATTGAATTTTACATAATAAAATAACTGAGATGAATATGTACATACTTTGTTTCACCATTTCAATTTATTATGGAAATCCATTCCATACTAGTCATTTTCTTAACTTTCACTGATATCTACAAAATTTTATGTTTCTTTTGTCAGCAAATATATTATACTTAAATCTCACAAAATCACTCAATATATTATACTTTTAAATCTCACAAAATCACTCAAAAACAAATCGTTTTTAAAATTAAACTTTTTTTTTTTTTTTGAATTTTATAGAAATTAAAGTTGTTTGTGAAATTCAAATATATCTCTTTCAACTTTGTTTCTCTTCTTTTCACAAGAACTACTAGTAAATTAATTAACCAATATGACGCCAAACTCTTTCAACT